TCTGGTACTCTCTATGGCCCCCACTAATGTCTTTCCAATAATACCACGCCCAGATCATTATGCCTCCACCACCTTGATCGCTGATAGCAATTCTGTCCGTTCATTACCCAGCCTTTGCACCATCTATCTGGCCCATCAAGTGTTGCTCGAGTTTCATCTGTGAACAAAACTTTAGAGAAGTCAATCTTCATATTGTCCTCGGCCCATTTCAATCGATTTTGAATGTGATTTCTTGTCAACAGAGGCTTCAATACAGGTTTGACTGTTGTTGCTATTTCCTTCAGATACCGACACCGAGTACTTTTAGACACAGTAGGATCCCCAATGCAACTGAAAAGCTCTTGACTGGTAAGTCCAGGGTTCTTCGTGGCCTCTTGTTTAAGTCGTGACATGAGACAATGTGAAATAACCCTCGGCTTGCCTTTATCTGCCCTTTTGCGTACTTGTGTAGGGTCGGTGGTGAACTTTTTCACTGTTTGATGACACCTCCCTATCATTTTAGAAATTTCTAGGGTAGATTTACCTTTTGAGAGTTCTGAGGTGATAGTTTTCTTTTCAGCATCACTTAAACTGCTTTTACAGCCCATCTTTTCACTAAATTCTTACACTTTTCTAATAATTTGGCACACTCAAATCACCGCACTGATAACAAATATGGCGTCAGTTTGTTTACATTGCACGGATCAGTACGAAAATTTCAGTGATTGCGCAGGTCAGTGCTGCCAACATTTGTGTGAATTGATTGGACAGTTTTTGAAATATTAGAAAAATAGTTATCTTGATAATAATTTGGCATGCAGTGTATATATGCTTTTATTCAAACTAATCCTTTCTCACAGACTAAATGTCACAAGCCTCTTGCTACTCTAATGCTATTTCCATGGCAAATCTTCTAGTGAGCTCCATTCCTTAGTTCCACCAGTTCAGACCTTTACATCAATGCCTCTTGCTACTCTAATGCTATTTCCATGGCAAATGTTCAGACAAGCTCTATTCCTTAGGTCCACCAGTTCAGACCTTTACAGCTAAGGCCCACCATGCCACATACACAGAGTCAAATCATCCTCATTTCCTTTGTATTCCATTATTAAGAATGAAGTTCTATTTGGACAACTTCTTCCCAAGAACCACTACTTTGTAAAAAAGATTCCCAAGAGGATGCTTTCCCAATCACTACAATGTTAACCCTTTCAAGTCTAGGTCAAGAGTAAAATTACTGTAACAATATAAATTGTCACTGCAATAGTTAACTTAATATTAGAAATAGTTATACTTGATTAATGGGTGAATGGCAATCATGATATTTACTAGGATGAGATGTGACACAAGGTCTATTTTTAGGTGGGGACCCAAGCGCATATGCCCAGGACAGGAACAAAAATTCCCCTCAGCCATCGGTTGCGCTGGCCTCAGTGTGAGCACTGATCCCTCCCTCTGGTGCAATGGAAGGGCACGGCCTCAGACAGCTGTTCCTCAGGGCTGGGCATCTCTCAGTATTATTTTCTCAGTTGCCTCTCTGTCCTTTGACAGAGAAACCCCTGAGACCACTCTGCCCAAAGATACAACTGAGAGATGATAAGTAGACATGTAACTACTCAAAAAGAGTAATTTACACACTCGAATGGCAATCACATACACACACACATACAGTCATCTCCAAAAGTATTGGAATGGCACGTTCAGTTTATGTTGTTCTTTGAAGATATTTGGTTTTAAGATCAAGCAAGCAAGGGTTATGCAACCAAATATTAAATGCTATTTACCATAAGACAATCTGTTCCTTTACTTTTACTGATCTAAAAATGAGGTGATCTGATATAAAAGGTGGTATGCCCTCAGCTATTTAACACATCTAAATGTAAATACCAGGAAATAAAAGGTGAAATCCTGAACTCTGGTCTTATATTCATCTTTTGATCTTAAACCCAAATGTCTTCAGTGAACAATAAAAACAATAAACCTTACCATTCCAATATTTTTGGAAGGGACCCCTCTCTCTCTCTCTCTCTCTATATATATATATATATATATATATAAATATATAAAGTGAACATAAAGTCAACAGAAAGGGAACAGTCTGTTTCATGCTATATGCAATCGGTGGCCTGACGATTGCATATAGCATGAAACAGACTGTCGCCTCTAAGTGTTGACTTCTATGTTCACCTTTTATATTTACACACGCTCTATCTCTGATATTGGGCACTTTATTCCATAAATATAGCACACCTTAAGACTATATTTCTTTATATATATATATATATATACCTAGTGAGCCAGACAAACCTACCCAGGTTTCACCCAAGTGAATCGTCAGGGAAAGCTGGCTAAAGAGGCAAAGAGAAACGCATATTTATAGGTGATTGTCAAAATTATACCACGTGATTAAAGATAAAGAAGACACAAAAACACTGAGGGGGTGGGGGTTAAAGATTTATTCAACTAAAAGGGGAGGGGATATTAAAATACGAACATTAAGGTGGAATGACAAAATAAACAGGGAAAAAATTTGGGGAAAAAATTTCATGTTTCTAGCTCTTTCTTTTTTTAAAACCTTTTTTCTCTCAAGATTGATTTGATTATTGGCAAATCAAAAATTCGAGGGTTTTCTGAAACGAGTATTGTTATTTATATTAGTATTTATATATATATATATATATATATATATATATATAGTCAAATTGTAAGTGGGCAGTGACCAGCCATGACTGCCAATTTCATGCACTTTCATGCAATCATCAGGCAGCTCTAATTTGTGAAGATAGGAATTCTTATGCCCCCAGGCAAGTCCAAGACGGTAAGCCAACCAAGGGAGAGGGTAGCCTATCCAGCCAAGATCAAAATAGCCAGAAATAAAAATTCTACCAGAAATGGTTTACCGGTGCAGCGAAAAAGTGCTTAATACCATAAGAAACAATAGCACCATGATAGAGGAGCTTAGAGCTTCAAGTAAAAATGTGCTTGACAATACAGGGCCACTAATGTAACATGAAACTGGCAGTTGCAATCAGTCACTGCCCACTTGAAATTTGACTTAAAATATATTAAAGCCCTGACATTTTTATGGCATAGAGCACTCTTTTTTTCTTGTGTGCAATCTTTGGCAGACTCTTTTAGGAGCTGCTTATTCTGATATCTAATTATATATATATATATTTTTTTTTCTTACAATTTTAAATTTTAAAATTCATAGGTGAAAATGGTCATCAACTTATGGTATCTTAATTCCAATTGTAAGAAAAATTTTGCTCTGTTTAATGAAAATAAACATTGAGTGCTCTTTGTGAGTCAGTTTTAATGTTTAATATTTAATATTTCAAATTCTATATTGTGTTAATAGAACTCGCTTGGATTATACCAAACAATTACTACCTCTGTGTGTGTGTGTGTATATATATATATATATATATAAAATAACATCTATTGATAGATGTAACATTATCTAATGTATGTCAAGGTGGACAGAATTTAGTCAATAAAGTGATTGATAAATATCTATGGAAATAATTATTGTTCTAAAAAATATAAAATGTTCAGAATATTCATTAAAGACAAAATTAAATTTTTCCAATGTTTCACTTGTCCCCTGACAAGTGAAACATTGGAAAAATTTAATTGTCAGGGGACAAGTGAAACATATATATATTATTAATATTTAGTAGATAAATTCTGCTAAATATTAAAAAACAAGGGTGGTTTAAACTCCTCTTCAGTCTTTTGAACAAGAATAGAGGTTTAGGATTAGGTTTCCAGTTCCATGTAAAGTCTACTTCAACTGTATACTTCTAACATCTCCTCCTAAACTCTGAAATTTATTATTTTGTTTTTCTTCAATAGGAGTAGATAAGTTTATACTCCTCACCAGTCTTTTGAACAGGAGTAGAGATTTATCCCATGTTTCAGGTTCCTTTTTAAAGTCTTCTCGTTCTCTTTCACCCCCAGAAGCCCCTTGATTCTTAGTTGCATTATTGCTTTACTTGGGATGAATTGATTAAAAAAAATTACTTCAAACATTATTTATTATGAAATTAATATGGCAGCTCAAATACAAAACAAAATAAACAAATCGCAAATCCAAACTCGAAGATCCATTGGCAGAAAGAAATGTCAAAATAACAAATCACAGATCCAATGTAAAAAAATCCCACGACACATAGACAATCAGAATTCCAATGCACAAGGCAAAGGTCACTCACAAGCCAACAGATGAAGTAAAAAAATAAACTACTTCACAATTCGAGAACACCAACTGCTTTTATTGATGTATCAATTTTTTCATTGCTTGACAGGTGGGAGAGGACACACAATATTAGCATATTCCAGATGCATTTATGGCAACAGCTGTGATTGACTCATTTCTATTTTAACTATTTTGTCTTGGGCATATTTTACAGAACACACGTATCCTTTTTCTTGATAAGTGACTTTCTCTTTTGCCATATGTACAATGGCCAAAATGTTGTGAATATGAGAATAAAGATGAGGACAATAGTCTGAACAATGTAAATGTGTAAATCCTATCCTTAGTAAATTGTTATATATTGACCCCCTTGTAATAAATTGTGATATCCAAGATGCATTTATGGCAACCCCTGCCACTGTCTTGTTTCTATTTTGGTTATTTTGACCTTTTTCTTGCTAAGTAACTTTCTCTTTTGCCACATTTTTATAGTGGATACTAGTATTTCAAATAGATGTCCAATTTTTGTTTTAAATGTATCCACTATAATAATATTTGAAGTAATAAAAATTTTGCATTAAAAATAAATCTATTAATTCTTTATATGTAAAAGAGAAATCTGTACATCACCCTTCACATTTTAGCATTTCAGTGTTAACTTTATTGCTGGAATTTTTTTTTCTTGAAATGTCTTAATAATTTCAATTATGTGAGCCTTTTCTCTAATCTCTGCTCAGAAACACTGTCATTTTTTTTAAAAATACACACAGGTGTATGTAAATTTGACTTTTTGTTTGATCAGTGTTTTATTATTTTCCAGGTGACAAAATGGCCAATAAATCCATCTGGTCTCCTTCATGACAGAGAGTGGATGGTTGTCACAGAACGGGGTATTGCTTTGACACAGAAAAGACTCCCGCAATTGTGCTTCATCCAACCAGATATCAATTTAGCTAATAATACCCTCACTCTACATTATCCAGGTTCGAACATAATAGATTTCCTTTGTGGCTGCATTTTTATCAACTGGAGATATGGTGTATGGTCGGGGTATAATAGAATCAATTCATATTATTTTTTTAATATACTGAAGTTCACCTAATACAAGGCTTAAGAATCACTCAATGTAGAGTGTTACTGAATGAAGTGTGTGTAAAAAAAAAAAAAAAAAAGGAGGGGGGATAAAGTTTAGATTACAAGGATAAGGAGAACAGATAACAATTGACCCTTGACTTAAAAACATTGAGATTGTAATGTTCAGAGAGATACTCACATAGGAATCTGTTCCACTAAGTAGCAGTTCTTGGGGGAAAAACTTTCTGAGTAAAACTTCCTCCTTACAACTGAAATATGGAGGGAATTATGGCAATTCAATTCTGTGGAATTAGCTGATCTAGTGAGATCTATTATTAACAAATTACTGCCAGGGAATAAAAAGCAAGTTCAACAATTTCAACCTACCAGATCATTTAAGATCGACAATAAATTTTTCTTTAAAATCTTTAAGGCCAGAAAAGAAAGTTGGCAGGAAGGAAAAATTATTTGCCCCTTTGTAGTATGGCATGCATTGTTGAAAGTGGATGATTTCATCATAAGAGTCATATTAATCAATTAGCCTACATATGAACAGAGTACACAAGAGTACAATTAAATTTACCAACAATTATACTTTATGATACTTTTGAAGTACCGATTTCTACAACTGAAAATACAATATGATGACAGGGTAAGTGAAAACGTAATCTGACAGAAACATTGGAAGTGGACCCATGTTGAAATAAGTATTGTCTGAGGAAAGTGCATATCTAAAAAAGGTTGGGGTGGAAATAAACACACCTCTCCAGAAGAAGACTTGTACTTGTCCAAATATATAAATATGGATGCCAAGTATCCTTCATAGAAGAAGTAAACAAGTAGAGAGAGCTCTAGCTTATCTGCTTACTACCTCTTTCAGTAAGACTACGTCGCTCCAAGGGATATACTACTTCTTGATTGTGTTATCTTTGTGCTTACAAAAAAATGAGTGTCAAAAGAATATTTTTTCCCCATGACACCACTTTTATTTTAACTACTTTCACTCTTTGGCAATGTTTATTGTTTTACAAAGTGATGATTAGAATTGTAATAAACATATGAAATTGAATTTATACATTTTCTTTGTTCTTGAGAACTGACAACAAAAAATTATAAACACTTTTTATTTATAATCTTGCTTATTTACACTATTTATTAGTTTGTTCATGAAATACATGCATAGGGCAAAAACGGTTGAGAAGTCCTGGTCTCGGAGATTAAAATGCTGATTTGTAAAATTGGTGGCATAGTAATTTTGAATCCAATCCCTGAACTGCATGGTGCAGACTTCAACTCAGTGGAAACAGGATGTGCATGAGTAGTACTAAGTAGGAACAAGACAAGATATCCATTGACAATCTACCCCTGTAGATTAAATAAAAGGTTCAATTTCAAAGTTCCCTGAAGTTGACCCAGATTGTCAAGCATCTAATGAAGGTTGGAGGGTACACTGGCTGAAACGTTGTGATAATATGAACAAAGATGAGGAGAATAGTAAACACCTCGTATCATTAGTTTTGTTGATGTAGATAACAATTTCAATGACCATCAACAACACAAGAATTGATTGAGTGGTTTGTGTTTATGGCTTATCAACCTTTTTCAGGTTATTTAAGGCCAGAAAATGTTTTTTTACATTATTAGAATTTTTTTTTTTTTTTTTTGAGATATAAAAGAAACTTTTTGAAAAATAATTTCATCCATTTGTGAATAAGTCCTGAAAATTTCATTAAAATCCGACAATTATTTGACTTTGCAAGAATTTCCAAATCAATGTATTTTTCACCGCAGAAGACACTAAAATTTACCATACTAATTTATGGTACCCATTGAAACAAGAAAAGCAAAATTTTTAACCAAAATTTTGAAGGTTCTAAAAAGGATAAAGAAAAATATAATTTAATAATCAAAAAAATCATTTGGTCTTTCATCTTAATAATAACATAAAGATTTTGTTTTTATTAAATTTGGGGCATTTTTTCATCGTGGTATGCTCATTTTTTAGCTACCTATTTATATCCATTTTCAGAATTACAAACTCATATTTGCCTTTTCATCTGTGAGATGGAAAGAACATGTTGCTTCAATTGAAGAATCTTTTGGACACATTATTTTTATTTTATGATTCAGAGCAGATTTTCTATAACTGATAGTCCTGTTTAACAAAAAAAAATTGATGATTTAAATACTCCAAGGGCTTATGCTTATAGCTAATATAACATTAAGCCCTATAAAAAAAAATTCTCAAAATTTCATAAAATAGGTGGAGGGAGGGTAACAGATGTAAATTTCCCAAGGTTTTCAAAAAAAAAAATAAATATTTGTAAAATAATTTAATTAATTTATAAGTCCTGAAATTTCTTTAAAATCTGACAATTATTTAATTTTTGCAAGAATTTCCAAATCAATGTGTTTTTCAAAAATTTTGTTTACCAGTTGTTGTCAAAGAAACTGACAATTATTGTGTGATTGACCTTTTCCTAAAGATTTTTCATGACACCTACTGATCTGGGAACTCTTTTTCTTTTGCAGGAATTCCTCCTCTGCAGTTGAGCTTGGATTTTCATTCAGCCGGCAATGAAGAAAGAAATAAGGACTACATTAGCAAAGTTTGCTTTAAAAAGTAAATCTTTTCATTTCATTTTCTAAAAAAAAAGAAAAATCTTATGAACAACCAATCTTCCATCTTTAAGTAAACATTACCAAAAGAAACATATGACTAACAATGGCTTGGCAAGATCTTGGATTCTTGGAAATAGTCAACTAATGCAACTCAGAAGATGACAGTGGAAAGGCTGAGTAATGTTTTGAGATAGTATTGTAGACATTGGAATTATAGGTCACTTCAAAATTAATTACAGTATCAACATTAGTGATTATTTTAATGTCTTAAATGTTATTTGAATGGAACAGGTCACAAGCAAGAAGCTTCAGGATAAAGAATATTAACATGCAAGAAAATATACATGATACTTCCTGTTCTATTAAGCTGAATATAGCTCACTTTATCAAAAAATATTCAAAGACCCAAAAATACCACAGAATTATAAATAATAATAATAATTATGATAATGTTTAAAGTGATAAAAAATCTGTCGGATTAATAAAAATCCATTCTGAAATTCTCTTTGTTTACATTTGGATATGAAACTGTATGCAGATATAAAGAACTTCAAGAGATCTATGACGGGAGAAATTTCGCTTGAAATGCATAAAATTATCATCAACTGACCATCTGCTTCTTCATGGCCAAGTGGTAAGGCACACCAGGCTAAACAGTGACTCCCTTTACCCTGAGGGATGCAGGTTCAATTCCTACTGAAGAGTGGAAATTTTTCTTTAATAAGATTTATCAAACATTCAGGCCAGTAGATGAAAATAAATATACTGTTTAATATATAAATAAAGCACCTACTGAAATATGGATATTCACTAATAATAATGTTTAAAGTGATTTTATATATATATATATATATAAGACAAAAGGAAAATTTATCTTAGCCAATGTAACTTGTTATAAAATCCTTGCATCATCCTTAGAGAAGTCTCAGATAAGTTTTACAGATATATTCTCTCTAAAAATCTTTACAAACACATACATACATATATATATATATATATATACACACACACACACACACACACAGAGGAAGTATACTATATCATAACTACAACTGGAAAGAATTTATCTAAGCTTAACATAAAATTTGTTACAACTACTTCTAAAACAATAAATTAATTGCAATAATTGTCACATGTAATACACAGGAGAAACCTCTAGGAATTTAAATAAAAGATTATATGGACACAAAAGGGATTTTTTTACAAACCAAAACACTCAATGCATTAGTTGTTCACTATAATTTTGATTTAAAAAATGCTACCCTGATTAAAAGAGAAAGCAATGTACAAAGATGAAAATGTATAGAAAGTGCTTTAATCGCGAGATCATCTATAGTAAATTTATATCCAGATTCTAACCTTTCTTAGCAGATCTTCTATTATCACCATGTGGGATACTTAATAAGAAAAGTAATAAAAACATAAACAAAAAGAAACTAAATGAAATCTAGACTACATACACAAAACATATTCAAAGAAAATCTTTTTTAATTTAAAATTTCAGCATCGCTTTTCCTTCATACACATGTGTAATCATATCAACATAAACATCACTCTAATCCAATCCCAAAGGATGAAACAGATCCTACTAAATTTTTTTACACTTTAAAAAATGCAGGAAGTAAAGAAGTTAAAGATTTAAAAAAAAAATGTGAAACGGAAAAACACAGACACACACACACACACACACACACTTTGTCCTGTGTATGACAATAAACTACGTCCAACAGCAAGGACTGATCAGGAGGTTTTGAGGAGTGTGGAACCATCTCTTAATTGCTGGTGTTCCCAGGTCCACCCTGACCTGGGGTGGTAGCACCTGTTAGGGTTCCAGCAAATAATTAACACCCAAACTTGTGTAAAAATAGGTTTTAATGCCAGAAATACTTTGTAATAAAAAAAATTATTACCAGCAATAATTTTTGAAGGAGAAATTATTACCAGCAATACTTTAAAAAAAAAAACCCCAGCAATACAAACAGTTATACATTCTTTGAAAAAATATAACCAGATATAGATTTCTTCAAGGAAAAATATTCCCAGAAATAGATTTTTGAAGAAAAACATATTACCAGCCATAAAAATTTTGTCGGCATTAAATAACCCATTGAGGTTGATATGCTGTAAAACAAAAACCAAACCGAACCAAACAGACACTGAGAGGAAAGAGGCAGAATTAAAGAAACTAGATATCAAGCAATGAATGAATGTCCACTTAGGATGAAAAGTCATAAAAACTACAGGACATATGTAAAACGATAATAGACATGGTATTCCCTGTTAAATCTTGGATTATGAAGCCAGGCCATGATGACAGTGTATATAAAAAAAGACTAATGCTGTCATTTGCCATTTCTCTATTTTCCTTTTCTTTTTTTTAAATTAAATTAGTTTTCTGTTAATTTACTAACGATATATTTTATCATCAAGCTAAACATTATATATAGTCCTTAAAGCAAAATGACTAACAACACATAATAATGCTTCAGGTGACTGTTTTCATATTTAGTAATGTTCTTGAAATTTTTAGTCCTGGGTATAACAGTAAACTATATTTGGCAGCAAGGCCTGTGATCGGGAGATTGTAAGTTTTGAGGAGCATGGAACCATTTGTTAAATTCTGTTGTTTCCAGGTCCACCCTGATCAGGGGTGGAAGCACCTGTTAAGGTCCCAGCTATGGGCAAATAGTGACCCCCACCTCACCAAAGAAAAAATAAAACACTATGAATGTAAAAAATACATATTTATAGTAAAATACCAGCAATACATTTTTATATAAAAATTACCAACAACAACTAGTTATAGTAAAATTACCAACAATGCATCAACCAACATGACAAAACTCTTTCACGACATTAATCCATATAATATCCTAATCCATATAATATCCTAATCCATTAATCCATATAATATCCTAGAATAAAACTGTATTCCAAAATATAACTTCAATAAAACTACAACATAAAACACACATATCTCTGCCTCTGGTAATTATGTCTATACAAATATTCATATGCACAAAAGATTGCTGTCTTGAAATGACCATTAGCTACATCCGCGTCCTGGATAAGATGATAAACTACATCCAACAGCAAGGCCCCTGATCAGAAGGCTTTGAGGAACATGGAACCGCCTCTTAATTGCTGGTGTTCCCAGGTCCACCTTACTCAGGATGGTAGCACCTGTTAGGGTCCCAGCTATGGGCAAATAGTTAACCCCCCAAACTGGTGTCAAAACACTATGAAAGTGTAAAAATAGGTTTTAATACCAGCAATGTTTTTGCAAAAAAAATTAACATCAATAAATTTTTGATGAAAAAAAATATTACCAGCAATAAAAATCCATTGAGGTTGATATGCCATAAAACAAAACAAACCAAACCAAAAAAAAGCTGAGTATCATTTACCATGTATTCAATTGTGAAAACAGAATAACATTTATCATATTTTTATTACTTCAAATCTCCTAAGAAAATTAAATTTCTGCATTAAATGACCCATAAGGAATTGATATGCTGTTAAACAATCAAATCAAGTCAAATTAAACACAATCACTCTATTTCTTTAATTTATGCAGAGTTCATGGAATTGATTGTGGAGAAAAGGCTTCTGATTGGCTGAGCCAAGCTTTGGGTGAACACAGATATCATCTCTTCAGGTTGTATCCAAAAAGTAACCAAGGTAAAATTTAAAAAAAAAATATTTAATAAACAAATGCATTACAATTAATGTGTATTTCTGTATTTTCAAAACTTTGCTGTTATTTTTATTGTGGCTATATTATGAGTGAGTGTGTGTATTTTAGAAGCTGGCAAGTATTTAGTAAAGTTATCAAAAACATTTTTTTTTTTTAAAAAAAAGGTAAAAGAAGGTTTTTTAAGAGTCATAGTTGGGTAATGGATAATGTCTTGGATTGAGGAATCAGAGTCAAGTTCATTATATACACTTACATGCTAATAACCTTTGGAAAGTATAAATCTATCTATTCTCCAACCCCCCCGGCCATGGATCCTATATCCTTGGGTGGCAACTGTTCAAAAAGAGGTACAACTCTGAACTCAAAGCTTGAGAGCCTAGTGTAAAGATTAAGGTTAACCCACACCACATTCCATTGTCTTCGGCTGTCATTCAAGAGATTGGAGAGGATATAGGTACTGCCAAGCTATCTGAAAGGTCACTGAAAGGATCATGAGAAAATAGAATCATATCCATCCCCTTTGACAATTGAAGCAGTTGAGGGTTAAAAAATGATTGTTTTGGAATCAGATAAAAATTGTTTTTATTCACACAGAAAAATAACATGTGAAAGACAGTATATTAGAATGTGGAATTGGATTATCAAATGTCAACATTGAGGAAATGTGAGAAAACAATCCAGGTGTTGTTTTGACTAAACATGTGAATTGTTGAGGAATATGACTAAAGTAACAAGTAAATGCGTAGGAAATATTTTTGGACTAAAATCTTGGAATCCTTACATGGATAGAAATATTAGGTTTTGATGATATTGTGTCATATGTGTTCACATCTCAACCTTGTGGATAGGTGTAGGATAATTATCTTATTGGAAACTTTGGGAATAAAACAAACTGACTCAAGAGTTAAAATAAATAATATATTTTTATTTATTTTCTTTAGAGTGAAGAGTTAGTCCTTTGGTATTCGGTGTAGCAAAATGTTTGTCAATAAGGCAGATTTTGGTTGCAGTCTGGTGAAATGTCCATTTGTGGTTGTTTAGAAGTAAGACCATGATAGGGGTAGTAGTAATATGAAAATTTAGGTCAGTGTCAATCTACTGTGTTCTTTTCAGCCCAGAAACTGCTTCTTTACATGTCATACATGGCTGTGTTCTTTTATTTTGTCCTCTCCAGTTGCCATACTTGTTCTATCTCTCTGTCTCTGGTCTTCAGGTGTCAGGTTTTTATCCTTTTTCAATAGACTCAAGAATTTGGTGCAAACATAAAAAAGTCTCATTGTGTTAATTTTTTTTGATTGGCTAAATTATTTTGTTTTATGGCTTTCCTTTCTTTTTTTTTTTTTTTTATAACAGACGTTATGCATGAAGCCGCCTTGATTTTGGTATTTTTCAGTCACAAATAAATGGGCTCAGCTCCTGCAAACTTCCATTGTTGTCTCTTCTTCCTCTTTTTTTTATTTGAGGATTGCCTTCTTGTAGGTTGAGAAAAGTATAGAAAGAGAGAGAAAGAAAAAAGAAAGAGATAAGGGTTTTAAAGGAAAGCACAAATGGCTTCTTTTAATTTGAATTCTTTTTATTTTTTGTTTATATATTTTTATTTTTTATCAGGTCTCACTACAAAGTGTATCTATTTTAATTGAACTTTGTATGATTTCAAAGCCTCAAACTAAAACAGTCTTCTTTTCAAATTTTATTATTATAGATTTAAATTTACTTTTCTTGTATAATGAAGTGCTTTCATGACCCAACACACCTTGAGCTTCAGAGATTACATACAGGGCCAGTGCCTACTACACCCAAACCTCACGACCAGTGAGGGAGGTGAAGCCTGATTGAGGGCCCGAGGCAGTGCTTTGTGACCATTCCTATATCAACATTTCCTTTTTTCTACTTACATATATACATTACAAATTAAACAAAGCACAATGAACTATTATTAAAGGATTAAAAACATTTTATAACAAAAATTATGCATGGAGCCTCCTGCATTTTGGTATTTTTCAATCATAAAGAAGTAGGCTTGCCTCCTGCAAACTTCCAGTGTTTTGGGCCAAGTTCAGTCTTTTCTTCTTCTTCCTCTTTTTATTTAAGGGTAGCCTTATCATAGGTGGAAAGTAGTGTAGAAAGAAAAGTTCAGAGAAAGAGAGAAAGAAAGAGATAAAGGTTTTAAAGGAAAGTGCAAATGCCTTATTTTAATTTGAATTCTTTTTATTCTTTGTTTATATATTTTGTTCTTATGTTTTATTTTATTTTTATCAGGACTCATAACAATATAATGACAAGAAAGACTTCTATTTTTTTTATCAGGACTCATAACAATATAATGACAAGAAAAACTTCTATTTTTTTATCAGGACTCATAACAATATAATGACAAGAAAGACTTCTATTTTTTTTATCAGGATTCATAACAATATAATGACAAGAAAAACTTCTATTTTTTTATCAGGACTCATAACAATATAATGACAAGAAAAACTTCTATTTTTTTATCAGGACTCATAACAATATAATGACAAGAAAAACTTCTATTTTTTTATCAGGATTCATAACAATATAATGACAAGAAAGATTTCTATTTTTTTATCAGGACTCATAACAATATAATGACAAGAAAGACTTATAACAATATAATGACAAGAAAGAATTCTATTTTTTTATCAGGACTCATAACAATATAATGACAAGAAAGAATTCTATTTTTTTATCAGGACTCATAACAATATAATGACAAGAAAGATTTCTATTTTTTATCAGGACTCATAACAATATAATGACAAGAAAGACTTCTATTTTTTTATCAGGACTCATAACAATATAATGACAAGAAAATCTTCTATTTTTTTCTCAGGATTCATAACAATATAATGACAAGAAAGATTTCTATTTTTTATCAGGACTCATAACAATATAATGACAAGAAAAACTTATAACAATATAATGACAAGAAAGAATTCTATTTTTTTATCAGGACTCATAACAATATAATGACAAGAAAAACTTCTATTTTTTTATCAGGATTCATAACAATATAATGACAAGAAAGATTTCTATTTTTTATCAGGACTCATAACAATATAATGACAAGAAAAACTTCTATTTTTTATCAGGACTCATAACAATATAATGACAAGAAAGACTTCTATTTTTTTTATCAGGACTCATAACAATATAATGACAAGAAAGACTTCTATTTTTTTATCAGGACTCATAACAATATAATGACAAGAAAGACTTCTATTTTTTTATCAGGACTCATAACAATATAATGACAAGAATGATTTCTATTTTTTCTATGTGTTAGTCTTAGTCACTAGGATGAAGTGTTGTGGAGGGAGACAACAAAAAAAGAAACTGACCCTTTTTAGCCCATGTAATTAGGTATGCTAATTGAATTTGTTGAGGGTGGAGTTAATTCTGAAATGTT